AAAAAAAACAAAAACCACAGCCACATAAACGCTGACGCGTGGATGCCTATTGGTCCCGGTTGGTGCCACCAACCGGGACCAAAGGCCCTCCTGCCTGGGCTCAGGGGACAGGCCACGTGGAGGCCCTTCTGTCCCGGTTCTGGATTGAACCGGGACTAAAGGGGGGAGGCATTAGTACCGACCCTTTAGTCCCGGTTCACCAACCGGGACTAAAGGCCCTTACCAACCAGGACAATAGGCCCTTTTTCTACTAGTGTCAATGCAACACCAAAAAAAGTACTAGTACATTAAGACAGGTTAAAAGAACCACATTTGACAGTAAAATGGAAATAATTGTATAATTGTTACTCATGGAGAACAGCTATTCTAGTCTGAGTTCATTACTACTACTCACAAATGCATAGCACTAGGTAATTAATCTGAATATATAATCTCCATCTGTCCTATACGATGGAGCTCTTTAATTTTATGATTTCTGCCTTAAGACTATCAAATTATTAATAACATAACTTCGTTTAGATACAACACCCTTTTTGACAGAATGTATCAAGACGGAACATGCAGAAATTATCCTATTGGTTTATAGATTTTAACTAATAGTCCCACAAACATCATATTGTTGCAGTTGCACAAACAAGGGAACAAGAAAGCCTACGCATCCACTCCATTGATCATGGAAACTTTCGAAATAGCTGAAGAAAAGAACACAAGCATAACTACGTGCAACCTAATTATGACATGGGGCATTGCTGGTCTTATACTACGTCCGATCCTTTTTACATGTCCTTTTAGAACACGTGCAGTCAAACATTTAGAGGTTTGACCACTAATATGTCGATTTCGATCAAGATTCGTCTGTTATTATCAAGGTACAATTTCATCAGTACATATTGATACCATGTTAAAAAAGTAGTAGCCAAAATGAAACTTCGAAAAATGCAAAGAAGTCAATAAGAACAAATAAAAAATAGAGATAGTGGTAAATTTCATAGTTGGCATCCTACCAAAACACGTTGACAAATCCTTACATAAGTGGTGACATGTGCACATAACAGTATGAACAAAAAGAAATATATGGCATATATAGATGCATGGCGGGAACCTGCTCCAGCTGCCACATGGAGAGCGGTCGCTCCGTGTTCACCAGGCTTTTCTGGATCAGCATCATGATCAAGGAGATACCTCACAATATCCAAATTCCCCGAACCAAGTGCATACTTCAGAGGTGTATCACCTATGGAAACCATCAGAATAAGAAGTTCAACAAATCATATGTTCTGAGTTCTGACCAGAAGAAGAAAATCCATATTAACATAATTTGTATTTACTATGAAACATGTCTCTATCTCCTACAATACATCCAAAGGATCCACATAACAATCCTCACTGCGTGTGCCCGTGAGCAGAGCACCATATCAGCGCTCACCGGGCCAAACCGAGCCAGGGGCTCCTCTGTACGAGTCGAGGACACATCAACACTTGGTGGTGTTTTAATGAATTTATTTTTTTGAATTGTGGTAAGCAATCCAAACAATTCAAAAACACTTGCCGGTGTTTGTTTGACTAAGCTGGCAAGTGGGTATCTGAAAGCCCCTGCAAGTGAAGGAAGAGAACACACTTGCTGGTGGCACCATGATTGATGCAGCAAAATTAAAGCATCCGTCTGTTACATTTTCATCCTACTGATTGCGTCCCTGGTGAACCACGGATCTCAATTTCTAGACACATTGGGTAATTCACATTTTGCGAAACGAAAGGAGGCCGAGACGAACAGAGCACCTTTGTCGTCTGCGGCATCGACGTTCACGCCAAGCTGCTCGACCAGGTACACGCACACGGCCATCCTCCCATGGCGGGCGGCGGCGTGCAGCGCCCCGGATCCGCCGTCCCTGGCGGCCTCCACCGCCTCCCTGGCGCGGCCCTTCCCGCCGTCCAGCGCGCTCGCGATGCCTGACGGAAAAATAAATCGCGCACAAATCAGAATCGAGCAGAAACAAAACAGACGCGCAACCACCCAAGCGGGAAACCGGCAAGGGGAGAGGGGGGCGCGGGCGTACTCTTGAAGCGGCCGAGGTCGCCGTCGGCCGCCGCCTTGAGGAGCCGGCGCTGCTGCGGGCCTGCAGCTGCAGGGGGAGGAAAGGGGGCCGGGTTAGGGCCAGTGCGGGGTA